ATCTAACACAATACATATACAACAAACACACACTATCATATATAATGTTCGTAAGATACGGGTTTCTTACCACGATTGAATTGTTTTAGCTCCCGATATTCGTATCGTATTCGTATTCGTATCTTACGAACATTATATTTGTAAAAACCACGACAGTTTAAAGTTATATAACACACTATCATACTTCATACTAATATAAATGCGAAAGTTAAGATGTTTGTTAGAGTTTGTAGCCTAAACAGCTGAATGGATTTCGATATAATTTGGTATTGACCTGGACGATAGTATGGAAGAACACATAGGCTACTTAAATTTCTTTTGTTGTATTTCCACGCGGACGGAGTCGGAGGCGAAAGCTAGTAAATTATGAATTCTTACATCCTTACATGTTAGGGTACAAAACCATACCACAGACATATAAGCCTAGTATTTACGTTAATTCGGTATTTTATAGTCAATCGAAAACTAGATTCACATTTTTATTTTTAATAATTACATTATTGTTTTTATTTTTACCGTCTAATAATCACTAGAAATAATTAAAGTACAATAGTTTCCAAAACACTTAATAATCTCCACTACTTAAGTAATAATTAACTAACCATGTAATTAGTAAAAAATTATTGAGAGTACATGTAAAATAACAACTACTTTTTTAATTTTGCTCAGTTTCTTCAAGATATTCCATCCAAGATATAGTTTGATATAGATAGATTAGTTTGATAAATGACGCACATGAAGTATCGAATTAAATTTGTATGAAGGTAAATGACGTACTTAATAGACAGGTATCGTAGTGAAACAAACACGCAGAGAACAATAATGAACTATCGATATTCAGTTTAAATAATTATTGAACCCAATTAAAATTATTATTTTCTTATTAACTAATTTAGAGGACAATTCAAGTATTGTCGAGAATTTAGCGATGACAGAAATAATAGGGAAATACAATATGATTACGTATGGCTGTAGTAGTAGTAAACATTTATTTACTCTCATTATTAATAATGGTTCAGCATTATTAATTTGAGAAAACAATGTTTTTTTTTTTATTCAGGTTATATTAATGAATCTATTTATTTCAACTTTTATAAGAATAAAAATCGAAAATCGATAAGATTGATGAATGATTTTACAAAACCCATCCCTACTAAATTTCAAATGAATTGTCAAACTAATCTTATTTAGACAAACTATTATATAAAAATGCCTACCAATGAGATCAAATAGAAGATCACTAAAATGTAATTTTTGTTATATGACCGATTTTTCAATTTGTGACTAATTCACTTACATGACCAATGTAATTCGTTTATTCGAATCGTAAGATCCCTATCACCCCAGAGCGGAAATACGAATTACCAATAACCTTGTTGATATCAAAGTTTATGTAATGATAATTGTATGTTTGTTGTGTTTGTTTGCAATAAAGTTTAAATACATACCGGCTGAGGAGTTTGTCTTTCGTTCATTTCGCCCGGAACGAAATATGTATCATTATTGTATAACTCAGAGAGGACCTCTTGTTCTGGAAAACAAATCAATTTTAATTATTAATTAATTGACATGAATGTATAGAACAAATAGACACGATAGGTACACATAAATTATGATCACTAGAACCCCACTTTAACCATTATATTAAGAGTTAATATTATTTTAAATGTTTTAAGTATGTTTTACATATTTAGTTATAAATAATAGCGCCTCTATTTTAGTATAAAATAACAAAAAATAATAGCTCATTTATATCTATACTTTTATAATAAAGCGAAAACACCCACTTCTTTGTTGCCAAAGATGTCAGCAATTACAGCGTATTTTTGAATAATAATTTTTTTAATAAAAAGCCTAACACTTATGTACTTTACGCTTTAGGCAACATATTTTCACGCCATTAAACTTAGGGAGCAAATATTTTAGATAAAAACACTAAAGTGGGAAAGAGACCATAAGTTGCTAAGGTTTGTCATGTCATGTCAGTTTGACATTTGCTATTGATAATTTGACAAATGTAAACAATAAAATAAAATTTTCATAATTTCATATGGATGAAGCCACACGGAATCAGCTAGTACTTTATATTTATCAATATAAAAAACATATAAATGTAAAATCCAAAAATCATTGTTCTATAGTCTTGTCATGTCATGCTTTTAATATATTTTATGTGCGTTTCACATATTTTGTAATAGCAGTTCATTAGCAGCTTTTTACGGGTCAAATAATCTTGTAGTACTATAAAAATTTTATATAAAGTGAAAGTAACTTACGTGTTACAGGGTCTATTATAGGCACTCGGTGGCTGCGCTTTGTCAGTGTAGGTCGGACACCTGTATATAAAATAAAAAATAAACAATTAACAGAAAATCAAACCTATAATAAAAATGTTAAACATTGAATTTGTTTCTCGCAAATAAATCAAAAAGATATAATTGATTGACATTGTTGATGTCAATAGGTCTATAAGTGAAACGACATTTATATACAGTTCTAAAATGTCAAGGCCTTTGCAAATTCCATTAAAATTTTACGGCAGGCAGATTGTAAATATCGCTTATAAAGCTTAGTATTTTAAATTTGTTAGGTTTTTAAGTTTATTAGGCCGAAAGCATTACTTTAATGTTTTGTATGAAGAAAGATCGCAGACAAAAAATGTATATTTCAATATTAATCTAAGAATAAAAAGTAATTCTTTTTATTTTTATTTGATTTAAGAAGTTTTGACGTCGATGTAAGACTGAAATAAAAATGTGGCACCCTTATTACATGTTTTCTTCTTTCCTGGGCAGGCTGTATATTTACAATTGAAGTTATTAAATACACACGCTTGTTACATAGATAGGTAGGCAGCAATTAGTAATTACTTAATATATAACCTACTAGCTTGGAATTAAGAAAAATTGATATTATAGTCTATTACTGGTCTTTGTGCAATTCAGACAGTAATCTATATTTGTTTGTTACGGAGCTGTGTTAATTATAACATATTCAATCTTACTAACATTGTAACCAAAGTTTATATGAATGGATGTTTGTAAGATTTTGTAGCCTAATCTGCTAAATAGATTTGGATGAAATTTGGTACAGATGTAGAGGATAGTGTGGAAGAACACATAGGCTCGCGTTTTTGTTTATTTTTTTAATGATTCCCTATCGTCACCGTGCTGTCCCTACGTGAGAATAAAGAGTTTCATCCGTCCCACTTTATACTCCCATTATCACCAATAAGGTGACAGATAGAACCATTATGAAATAATTTCCAGTCGCAAAAGATAGGACGGATGAAACTTTATTCTGATATGTCCCCACATGGGGACAGAGAAGGGTGACGGTTGGGAATAATTTTTTTTTACATCGATGTGGACGTAGTCGAAATCTAGCTTAACATCATAAAGTGTGTCATTATCATTAGTTTACTATACGTCTCCTCTGTGAGGCTCGGAGCCTACCCTAAGCTAGGGAGTCTAGGCCGTAGTCAATCACGATGTCCCACTGCGGGTTGATTTCACACATATCTTTGAATTTCTTCACCGATATGTGCAGGCATCACGATGTTTTCTTTCACCGTAAGAACGTCGGGTGAAATATGTACATATGAAAAATCGAACATCAGATTGGTACATGACGGGATTCGAACCCAAGACCTGTAGATTACAAGTCAAGTGCCACCAACGGTCTTATAGATATCTTATGGATATGCGATCTATAAAGTGTGTGTTTATGTTTTATTGTATTAGTATAGTTAGTGTTACCTGGCATAGCGCTGTGCAGATGTGGTGGAGGGGGTGCGTGGGGGAGCGGCGCCGGGGGTGCGGCGGCTGTCGGCTGCGGCCCCACTAGCGGCGCGCCGGCGCGGGCGCTGCTCGTCGCCACCCCACTACCACCCAGGGGCTGGTTGTTAGGGTAGTAATCTGACAAAACATACATAAATACGTCAAAACACGTGTAGAGTTTTGCAACTCTGATAGTAATTAGCTATAACTTTAAATTATATTAGAATTTGACTATAAAAATATAAGCTTTAGTTTATTTTAGTTTAACATGATTGTCGCGTAGATTCTACCTAAATATTAAATACCATATAATTGTATATTTAAAACATTGCATACTTTAAAAACAGTAATAAAGGGTATACCTCGCATGCATTGAGTGTTGATAGTTTATGGTTTTGGGGTTTAAGCACTTGACTTGTAATCTACAAGTCTTGAAATCCTGCTATGTACCAAAGTGTTTTAGAATTTCATAGGTACACAATTATTATTACATTCTTACGGTAAAGGAAAAAATGATGCCTACAGATATCATTGGGAATATTCAAATATATATGCAGTCATCTTGCAATAGGACAATGTAGTTGATTATGGTCTAATCCCTAACTTAGGATGAATTACAAGATCCGAAACTGATGATAAAAATAACTTAATTCTCATCAAGTGACAACTAGTTACTGTAAATCAGTAATTACTACTAGGATAGTTTTTTTAAAGCTTAAGCCTTGGTTTATACATCAATAGATGAGAAAATATGTCCATATCTAGTATCAGACAGAATCTATACAGAATGTAGAAGTCTTTTTTTAAATTAAATAATTAAAATTATCAAATGATATAAAATATATCACCTGCGATATACTCACATGGTGGCGTATGACCAGTGGGCGTGCCGTAGCCCAAGTATGGAGACACATACTGGTAGAATCTGGAAATAAAATACATTTTACATTTCTTGTTTAGGAAACAAACTATATATTGTTAGCTTTTTAACTATTTTTAAATAAATAAATAGGACTTTTATTGCCACAAAAACAAGCTACAAATGAAATCTTACATACATCAACCTTAAAACTAGTAAAAAAAAAAAGAAAATGTGGCAATAGGCGGCAAGCTCAGCAATGCAGAGAAACTAATGCAGAGACGGCGCAGGCCGTTTCTGCGCTGGTTTTCAGCTGGCCCCTTTACACACCGATATTTACACACAAGGTGGGTGACTTAACCTTGTTAGATATTTAAAAAAGTGAATAAACAAATTTTGATGTATTCTGTATTCTTAAAGGTTATTTAATCTGTGCTATAAATCAATACTATTTATCTTTATTTTAAACTAGCTGTTCCTGTGCGGCTTCATCCGCATGAAATTATGAAAATTTTATTTTATTGTTTACATTTGTCAAATTATCAATAGCAAATGTCAAAATGACATGACATGATGAAACCTTGCTTCCTTGATGTTGGCAGCAACTTATGGTCTCTTTCCCACATTAGGAATTTTATCAAAAATATTTACTCCCTAAGTTTAATGGCGTTAAAATATATAGCCTAAAGCGCGACGAAAATCTAGGGCTTTTTATTAAAAAATAAATTATTCAAAAATATGCTGTAATTGCTGACATTTTAGGCAACAAAAAAGTGTGTGTTTACGCTTTATTATAATAGTACAGATAGATAACAATATAAACTTTGTAATTGTGATCCAACACATTATTGAAATTTTTTTATCATGGTTTTAAAATATCGGAATTCTACTTGTTATGTTAATAATTGGACAGTAGTCAGATGTCAAAAATAATGGTGTTGCATTGACTCGACGACACGACGGCCATATTGGTAGTGGCGGTCGTTGAAAAACGGTAAAGGTAGGTAGACCGGTGTTATTGGTAAGGTTATTCTGTGCTAATTGGAACAAAACATAATAGGTAAAGAAGACTATATTTTATTAAAGCATACCATGGCTGTGACGTCACATATTTTATAAATATACATTTTCACATCAATCAAAAGTGTATAACCCTATTAACTTATCTGATCTATTAAGTAACTGTCAAAGAAGTTTATGTTCAATGAGAAACTTATTCAGATTAGTGCAGTTCACTGCTAACCTATTGCTTGTTTAGAGGCACTTTTTGTATCGTTGGAAGAAATATAACATTTTTCTGTAAGGGGACAACCTCGGATTAGTTCAACCGTACATCAAACATTAACTCTTATAGCGCAAAAACCTCACAATTTACTTGCCTATTGTGTAAAGCCATTTGTGTACAATACCAAATAAAGTCAATTTTTGTTGAATATCCAAGAATTGTTTGTATAATGTAATAGGAGAAGGTAATATCGCAAGTGCAGTCAATGAACTCGACAATTTCGCAAACACAGCGAAAAGTTTCGTAGAACGCGCAGTCAACGAACTAAAAACTGAATAAACTGCGTGGTAACATACAAGTTTCATTGAAGGATTGTAATGTTTTTATCTACCTTCTAATTGTAATTTAATATGTAAGTAGGTATGTTTCTGTATCTTTAAACTTTTCATATAAATTACGGTTATTTTCTTATTTTTGTCTGTCTGTAATCTCCGGAACGATTGGATTGATTTTTACGTGAAGGTAGCTGTTGCGTTCGGGAAAATAATAGATTACTTATTAGTTGTACAATCTTACTAATATTATAAATGCGAAAGTTTAGATGGATGGATGGATGGATGTTTGTTAGCGTTTGTAGCCTAAACGGCTGAACGGATCTCCATGAAATTTGGCACAGGTTTTGGAGCATAATCTGGAAGAACACATAGGCTACTTTTTATTCCTGGAATAGTTACGGTTCCCGTGGGATTCATTATTTTTGTTTTTTAATGTTTACTTGTTCATTCTGCAACGGTTCAATATATCTTATTGAAATTTGGCACACATATGAAACAAAATCTAGAGTATACATGGGATAAGCTTCATCCCCGAGAAATGTCCGGTTCCCGAGGGATACGTAGCTTTTTGTAGTTTTTATGTTTTCAAATACCACGCGTACGAAGTCGCGGGCAACAGCTCGTTTTAAATAAATGTTTAACGTTTTCTAACGAAATAATGCTGACCTATGTCAACTCTAAATTACCTAGAACCACAGCGAAAAATAAAGGATATACTAAAGGAGAAATCGTTATCTTTATTTTATACTAATATTATAAAGAGGAAAGATTTGTGTTTTTGTATGTATTGAAATAACTCAAATACTACTGGACCGAATTCAAATATTCTTTCACTGTTAGAAATGTAATTTATTTGTGAGTAACATAAAAGCTATGATTTTATTATTTTTTAATTACACGCGGGCGAAGTGCGTGCAACAGCTAGTAATATTATAAAGAGGAAAGATTTGTGTTTTTGTATGTAAACATTCTTTCACCTTTAGAAAGGTAATTATTTTGTGAGTAACATAGGCTATATTTTTTTATTCACGCGGGCGTAGTCGCGAGCAACAGCTAATTATAACTAACACAAAAGCACAGATTATTATTTATCGAATTTATTTATTTATTTAAAGCCACTCAGCACATATCTTCCGTGGCCATTGAAAATAGATGGCACTATTATAAAATGCAAGTGGCGTTCACCTTCTAGAATACTGAGGCGTTAATAAGACTAACTTTGTAAGATACAATTCATTGAGGTTTATTTTATAATTACCCTGAAGAAGACGACCTTGGCTGTTGGTAGCCTTGCGGCAACCCCATATGTGGCTGGAAGACCAGCGTGGGATGATGGTACACGACCGGCGCCGCTGTATTATTACCCGCACCACCTAGATACGGCTGCTGTTGTCTGGAATAAATACATTCAAACATAGAGCGGACATTACAAAAAATACTAACCGTATGTAGTGCAAACATCAGTATAAATACAAATCTCCATTCTCGCTTAAGGCAGTCAAGCGTAAGACCAACAGTTATTTTAGATACTCCAGATGGACTCAACAAAGTTCTCAATTATGGTGCTTGAAAATAAGGATGAAATTGAAACGCTCCTAAATATTGTCATCCCTCTCTTTCTCTTTGAATAAACAATAGATTTTATACGAATAGTTCGGCAATGGAAAGTATACGATAAGATTATCAATTCAAAATAGTTTTTGGTCTAAAAAGTAAATGTTGTTGAATATGTAAACTGTATGAATAAAAACTAGGAAAACGCTTTGTTTAGAATATCAATAAGGTATTTATAAGCTATCTATAAAAGCAGATCAATGTCATGGAATAAGTATGTTTTTGTTCTATTTTATCTAACGAAAGTTTTTTGCGTATGGATTGTGTGCTTTTTGCAGCCTAACTTATATAAAAAAAAATTTAAATGGATGTTTGTTAGAGTTTGTAGCCTAAACGGCTGAACAGATCTGGATGAAATTTGGCATAGATGTAGAGCATAGTCTGGAAGAACACATAGGTTACTTACTTTTGATTTTTTTATGCCACGCGGACAGAGTTGCGGGCGAAAGCTAGTTATATTTAATTTAACAAGATAGGACCCCGTTTCGACTCGATTTTGAAATTTAGCCCGGAGTACCTTTATATCCAAAACATTATTCTTGGAAACACAAAATAATTTCTATAACAGTTTAAAAATAAAACTTTGCTTATATAATTTACCAATCATTCTTATTTAAAACTTTTATTTGGACTCAATTTCTAGCGAACGTAATAAGTAACTAGTGGGTAAAAAATCAAGTATAAAAGCTAGTAAAATATTGCATTTTTTACCTTGGATGTGTATTGGGCCGAGCTCCATGCTGCGCCCTGTACGAGAAGTTTGAATACTGCGGTCTCGACTGCGGGCTCTGACTTTGTTGTGGCACGTAGTTGTGTCCTGCCTGTAAAGTACATAGTAAAATTATACTTAGTTTGGATGGATGGATGTTTTTCACTACGCATCTTCAAAACTACTCAACGGAATTTGCCACACGTAGAGCATAGATTGGAGGAATACATATGCTTATATTAAGTAGTTTTTTTCACGCCACGCGGACGGTGTCACGTGCAAAAGCTAGTATATCATTATATTTACATCTTTAAACATTAAAATGCATAGTAATCATTTTTGAAAAAGTAATAATATAATGTACATGTATTTCCTAGATTTATGTATCTTTCCTTGAATCCAATGGAAATATAAAATTATAAATACATCTAAACAATTTTACCTTCATAAGTCTGTAATCACAGACATGTTTGTACCATCAATTTAAACACTGAAAAGTACCAAAATAAATCCACATAAAATAAATTAAATTGTCAGAATTGTTATATGTGTAAATGTAATTTCTCATTCCCATTGTATTCGAAATACATGATTTTACGATAGAACTGGATTCGTACAAGTTTTAAAACCAATTTTGACAAAAAAGAAATCGAGAGCTATGAACGCTACAGCATTTTGGAACGGCAATTTAATTAATACGTGTGGTAAAAAGAAATCCATAACAACATTTTATTAGTCGATAATTTAAAAAAAATGTAATTTTTATATATAATGTTGTCATTAGAATTAAATATATGTAACTCTCAGATCGATGTATGAACCGGAAGAGAGTGTAATTTAAGTAACTTGATTTGCCCCAAATAAATAGGGAAAATGAAAGAAACGTGTTGGAATAATGGCCCACTTTTATGTGATACTCTTCGAAGGTTTTATTTATAAAAATACCTTGGTAATGATGAAATTTTTAAAACGCAAAGCCAAAAAGTTGGACATCGTGTTATGACGTTTCCAGTACTTGAATTCCTACGCCTATTGGAACACCCTCTATTAGGTAAAATATAGAAAAAAAATGTAAACGATATTTGCTATTTCTGTTCTGTTTAGAATCACAGGGGGAATACAAAACAAGGTCAACGTGTATGTTACAAAAAAAATTGCACAATAATAAAGAAAATTAAGATATATCGTCTATAAATGGATTTCTTTTTACCGACTCTCAGGGCGGGAATGCTTAGGCCAGTAACTGGCGCACTTGCATACTTGTAAGTTGAGGTTCAAAGGGGTACGAAGCTTGACACTGACGACTCTCTCAATACGATCTATGAATATTTTAATGACATATAATGTATTGCGCCAGTAACTGGCACGTTCCAATTGCTGACATGCCAGCTGTCACATAATGTCTACTTTCATACACATATACATGTCTACTTTCGTGAGTTTTTGTCAAAACAAGCCAATCGGGTAGCCAAACAACATCGCATAAAATGCATAAAAACTTCGCAAATCAAATAAAAATTTCGCAGTGTCTTTATTTGGATATATTCATACAATACGCGATTTGAAACTTTTACTCCAAACACGAAACTTTGTATAAAAGTAAACACGATTCAGTCCGATCCATAACTTTTTTATTTTTCAAACTCGGCATACCAAATTGTTGTTTGTTTAAAATTGTTATGCCCAGTTTAAAAAATCGGACTGAAGCGTATTTGCTTTTATACCCTTTAGTCAATAAACTATGCAAAATCTGAGTTGTACAGTTCAACTGACAGTAAAAGTGTCAGTTATAATTGACCGTCTGTAGTAAGTTTAATAATCAAGATAGTAGTTTGCATTTATCAAATGCGTGAAAATTTGCAAATTTTACTTAAGGTATCGCTTAAAGTGATCCTCCTTGATATATCCTTTACAAAATGTTTAGTTATAGTTTTGATTTAGAGCATAGACCTCGCCAATTGCATCGGACTGATGGTCGTTTATTACAATAGATCTGAATGACGCGTGCAGCGTTTGCGTTTGATACATATGCCAAGTTACGAGATATTGATTTTGTGTCGAGTGGAGTACGAGACAAGGCCGCCGCCTTTGTTGAGGGATTTATGGCCTTGAGTAAAATCGACGTAATATATTCCTAACTAGCTGTTGTTAGCGACTTCGTCAGTGTGGAATTAAAAATAAAATTCTAAGTTACTCTCGCATACATTTTCTATCTTACAATAATAGTCTCGAATCGAATCAAAATCGATGAAGCAGTTGCGGAGGTTACCGGGAACAAAATGCGGCCTTGATATAAGAAATAAAAAAATTATATACAATTACATCATGTTCAAGAATTTTTTTGTATTACTTACATAAAATCTATCAAATGTATCAAATATAAACTATTGTTTAGACATGATAACGCGATAATGGGACCTAATTTAAAATTTTAATGGTACAATGAGTTTTCCTCAGGTTTTATTTACTTTATTGCACAGGTCTATAGCACCTCTACAGGCAATGGGGGCATATATGAAGGTGTCAGATAATTTCACTATTATTTTAATGAAGGCTCAAACAAAACGTAAATACCATGAAAGGGCTAATCTCAGGATGAATATGAAAAGAATGAACGTTAAATAACTGTTTAAAACTATAACAAGAAATATTCTACAATAATCAGCAATGGACCACGACGTTGAAAGGATTAGTCACGCTTCAGTACAGTGTAGCACTAGTTCGTACAAGTAAGCCGGATTAGAAATAAATTGCATGTATCAAGTTTATTTGTTCAAGAAATCTTATTTAGACTTCGTGTTTTAAGTAGCTTGGGGCGTCTAAGTGTTCCCTCTCAGAACTCTAAAAGAGAGCGGTAAGAACGGCTCTAGTTATCATTGTGAATACATTCTAGGAAACAAAGATCAAGTAGTCTGCAACGTGAACTGTTTACACGAAAAACGATTGCATTTAATATTTATGTACGCAAATAGGTATAAAAGGAAAGTCCACTTACCAGGGCAGGCTTTGACATGTCAAGTTGTGGCGCAGCGGGCGCGGGGGGCGCCGGGGGCGCAGACGGCTGAGGGGTCGGCTGCGGACGCAGGCTCTGCTGGGGCCCTAAGGTCGGCTGAGCCCCCGGCAAGTAGCCGGAGGCCGTCGACCCCGCCGGATGGTAGCACTCCGACCCTGAAACAATAACCACAATAAGATACCAATCCGTACTTCTCCCTTGTACAAACCTTCCGAAGTCGCTACTCACTGTGTGGTGTTGAAGCTCTTGGATAACTGTTTGGCGCTAAGGAAAATAAAAACAAAATTGTATTACTTTAGTAGAAACTGTACATTTTTCTGGGTGGTGGGTTATGGATGTCGCGTGTGGCGAGTGTGCCGTTGCACTTACTCGACTGCGGCAGTAGCCTGTAGGTGGTACCGGAGGAAGCGGCGGCGGGCGCACAGGCCGGGTACCGCGGCGGCTCGTGCTTGCTCGGCCCCGGCATGTACTGCACGTGCACGCGCGCCGAACCAATGCCGCCGCAGTTCTGCCCCCCATTGCCCACCACCTCTGACTGACCGCCGTGCGATACGAACCCATTACCTCTTAGCGCAACCATTTTAATTTCATGATATAGATCCTTCAGAAATTCAACTAGCCAAATGTTAAACCATTCCCAAAATAGTGGCGATGTGATCATCGACATAAGGCAGCGAGGACTATAACCTCGCAAAACGACGACCCTACTATCGTATTCGCGGATTTACCGCATCACACTATAAGGCTAAGCTGTATTAATTTTGTATGAATCAGTTTAGGCACCGCTATATAGAATAAACTATTGAATCAACGTTCGTTTGTGCAACGATTAAGCGTAACGTATATTACTCGCGTGGAAGTGTGCAGTCCGCATTCACGGTTTATATAGTAATTGAATGCAGCATTGAGAAAATCGATAAGGAGACGGCAGCGGCACTCGGGCCGCACGGCGACCGGTCGCCCGCGTCCACACGCCACGATACCACACGGACAAGGCTGCTCAGCTCCTCAACACAGCACCGTCTCTACAATTATATCTTGCCTATGTTATTTTATTATTTTTAAAAGTTTAGAAAATACAATTTTATTGATATTAATTCGCGACCACCGCAAAGCCGTCCGTCGCTTAGCGTACTCCGTCTCCCTTTTGTAATATTCTAAGTAGAGCCACAACGAACTTTGCGCGGGGAAAAGAGATGAAAGTACTTTGTGCTTTAGCTTTACGAATTTGGGGCGTTCCCTCGTCTAAAGCTACCCTCTTGTCTGCGACAACCATATACTGAGCGGAAAATTTAAGCCATATCCATCGCCGCTCAAGTTTGTTAGAGACGGGTGTTGTTGCGAATCTTAGTAGCAATGAACGGTAGAAAAGTGATACCGTCGTTTGTTGCGGGTTAATCCGACATTGAAAGCGACGTGGCGTACGATATATATTTTTTTAGGGTTCCGTGGTGTTGCTAGCTAGTCGGTGGGCAGGCGAAGCGAGGCGATGTACAGCGCCCCCGCGTACATCGATACATCGGGCTCGATGTCGACGACTCGGCCGGCAATTGGCATCGCTCGTCGCTCCCGTTCACGTCAACCGGAACTTACGAGTATAGCGCTCCTATACGACCAACCAGTGCCGCTTGAGAAAGTTGCACGAGTCGGAATAATTAAATGCGAATTAATTCGAGAAATATTTCGCAAAACATGACGCTTTGCTGGTTGGCGCGATCACCATAAAAACACATCACCGCTAAAAGAACCGTAAACATTTCACGGAACCATAGTACACTACTGATACAAACAAACGCGTTCACTTATGTTCATTTATTGAATTCATAGCAGTAATCGGAATACAAATGTCTTTCATTGTATAACTTGCCTTCTGAGGAACATAAGAGGTTTCCCAAAAAAATAGTCCAAACTCGAGAAGTTACATACTTTTGTTTTACAAAGGTTGTATTATCAGTCTATTTATCGTGTCGATAAAATCAAATTACTAAACAGTAGTTATATTTATTACTTTACTGAATTTTAAAAAGTATTTCATTTGAACATTATTTAACTGAGTAAATAGAAATGTATGTTTTATAAAGGCATAGAATAATATGCACATGAGCTCGAGAACAATCGACAATATTGTTTGTTATGTTGTAAAGGTATGTCAGATCAGCAATTCGTCGACGCTCGTAGGATTTAATTAAATGATAATTTTATAGCAAATTATTGATAAAAATTCTACTTTGAAATTACTATTGTATTTCTTAACTTACTTCATAACAACACCATAAATACTAAGTTTAGATAATTTAATTTATTTAATAACTAAGGATCCAATTATTACATCCTTAAATAAATTGTCATTTTATAAAAATTTAATTATAGATTAATAGTTTCATTTGATGTCTTAAAATTTTTCAGTAGTTCTTAAATATTTACATGTTCTATATAGTTTGTATTTAGGGTTCGATTGAAGTAAAAAAAAATTAACATCAGTTTTATTTTTTAATAAATATAGTGATAGCAAGTGGGAACATGTATACATAAATGGAAACAGGCGCACCTGACTATACTTGTATATAGTGTGTGTGAGCGTAGTTAACAATCACATATAATGCGTATCATGTTAGTAAACACTGAATACAAAAGTTAACTTGTGAAATATTCACAATTAAAATTTTAATCATGATTATTTACTATGTTAATAAAAATAGGCGGAGTTCTAATTACGAAGAGCTTTTTATTCACAGTACTTACCCTTCGTTCATCCCTTCGCGAAGTGTTTCACCGTGGATTCACGTTCCGACGAGGCATATTTACATATACAAGTAACATACATATTATGTCATCTAAAGAGGTCGAGTAAATATCAAATGCCTAAGATTGAATAGATCTAATGAGAGCACAATAATCCCCCTATAACGTAGTAGATCGTTACAGCGTTATGATATACCCGTATAACGCGTTGTTACGACTTCCTATAACGTTATGTTAAATTAATACATCACATTTAACTTTTATTATACTCCCATACAAAAAATTGACCAGTCATTTACCCACACCTTTTTATACACAAATTTAATAAAATAATCTAATTTTATAATAACACAATAGGCACACGTGTAATGGTACGCAAAGCTAATTATGAACTGTACAAAACATAAATTTCACAGTATAGAAATATGGGTGAAATCCCCGAGTTATATGGGGGAATGCCCATGGTATACTGGGGATTGTAATCGCGTATTATGAAAGCGCGTTATAAGTATACCACGTTATATGGGGGAATACTGCATTAGGTACTCTAATGATTACATTTAGGATTAGACTGAATATTGATAATTGAACTACGTAATCTATTTAAAGGGGATACCAATATCTATATACATATTCCATGTCGTTATCCGAAACTGGCGACGTACCACCCTTAAAGCGACAATCGTTTGAACATTTTTAAACAAGACGCGAACAAAAATCAATACAAAACAGCTTAAAAATGTGTCTACAAAACAAACTCGGTTAGTGATTCACAGGTTTTTTTTATTGTTATCCCTTCGTTACACTACTCACTCTTATGTAATTAGTTATTCGTATGATAATTTTAGTCCCTTTCCCTTTCCACCCTTTTCTTAAGTGGAAAAGATGGGGAGGAAAAGTGGATTTCACGGTGGAGGAGACGCATAGGAAGGGGAAATGTCCTCTTTATGTGCGTCTCCTCCTCCGTCAATTAAGGGTAGGGAACGCATCTGCAATTGCGGATGTTTATGGGCAGCGGTCGCTTTCCATTTCGGTGGATTCAGGTGGCCGCTTGCTCGTTAGCCACCTCATATTATAAAAAAAATAAGAAGGAAATTTGTCTGAAGAACTATATCTTGGAGCACTGCGGATTTCCCCGACTGTACATATTACATCCTTGCAGAGGATATATCAATGCTTTCTATGTTACCAAATTTCATTATTTTTAAGAGTAAAAGAAACTGTTAGAATATCACTTACAGGTTAAAAGCAACAATTTAACAAGTACAAAGAAAAAACTGTGATAATTGTAACTAGAATACTACTATTAATGTCTAATAATTATTATAAATCACATTTCCTATTAATTAGGCGAATCTTTCCGCAGGTAAATATTTCAAATAACCTTTCAGTATGCTATATTTAGATATTATTTGCCTTGAGGGTTGCTCCAATTTTTGCGACTTAATCATCCTACCCGGAAACTACGTCATTACCCGTGGAAATTGAATTTACGTAAACAGATGTGACCTGACTTGAGTTTTAACATGAAAGGGACACGAGTAACGATTTTTTCTAAATATAAACTAAGCCTCGAGTATCATAAATTAAGTAACGTTAGATCGGTACTTTTAACAAAACCAATTCATAATCAAGTAGCTTATAATTACTGAGTAATCTAGTTCTAAACAACATGGAATTAAGTCAGGAAAAACATAATTTCATTAACAACTCAAACACAATAAAGTATTATTTACAGTTTTCAGACTTCTCTATTCGGTACTACTTGACTTATTTAAACATTCTATTAATTTGATGGCGAAATAATTCAATCTTAAGTCTATTGGGAAAAATGAAATGTAGATATTTGAGTAATGATAAGATACTTATTAAATTGTGTACTTCAAATAACTTTCCGCATTCTCCTCTTCCCAATAAAAAGTTAGAACATAAATGAGCGAAAAGGTCAATGCAACAAAAATGAAATGGGATAATCAAAAACACCGAAAAACGCAAAACAACTTTTAATGTATTCTCATTACAATCATGTTAATGTTTCAAAACATCTCTGCATCGTTCAGTCGGTGATCATTGTACATTTATAACAAGATTCAAGCTTTACAGCGGCTCGTGGTTAGTTGCGAGCGCTTGTTTCCGTCAGTAGATGTCAGAACCCAATGCGGTAGGAAAGAGAGTGCAGGGGTCGGCCCCGCCGCTCTTCACATCGCGGCAATAACGTGTTCTACTACAAAATTGCGAGCCTCCACAAAGTTTGGATGGCATTATACGATGGACTCAATAACTTTCGTTGTATAAATCCGTGAGCAGCGGTGGAAATGAATGAATTCATCCGGATGACGTCAATGACCCTATTCACTATGGTCTAACAGTGATGTACACACCCCATGTCTTGTGTGCGGTTAGTTATGCATTAGATGAAAATGAGATCGCTATATGTTCTGTGTCCAATGCATACGTGAATAATCCATAAAACAATGTTGCGTTTGCTTGTGCGTTGTTTTCCTAGATTATTGTTCGAAGAAAGATGGGGTCTAAGGTAAATGGGAATGAATAAACTATAAAGGCAAAAGTAAAAACAAAGTAAAATGGGGGGATGAGGAGTTTAGGTCTAGTATAAATTTCACTATTTAACACCGGACAGAAAGAGAGAGCTGGGAATATTGAAAATAAGTCAGATTAGATATCTTGTCTCATTGTAAAGTAGGTAAGTCTGTAGTTGGATAATTATTAAGTTGGACGTAATTATTTTTATGTACAATGTTGTAAATTTACTAAAAATACGCATATCAATTTAGGAAAGAAAATAAATTTGAAGTCCCATATTTTTATTTTTAGAAGACGATGTCTTTAAAAACTGTTTTCATCTAAAATACAATGAAAGTGCTAATGAATAAATTTCCAGAAACGATCGCTTCTGTTGTTGTTTTTCAAGATTTGAATAATTTTGTAACACTAATATCAATCTAGCTATTTTTAATTTGGAAAAAATAAAACTCGTTCATTAATAGGCAATTGGGTAATTAATTCCAAAATTACATGACAAAGGTAGATTAATTTCTTCGCTTGTTAAATGAATAGTGACGCAAGGATATGTTCATTAGTTACAATTTTTTTTTTTAAAGTGCTTTATTGTATTAAGTTCATATTTATGGAAAGTTCATTTCGTGAGTTGGATCGTTTTCATTTCTAGCTCCACTTACAATCAGATCTTAGGACACGTTATACAAGTGTCGCTATGGTGAGACGTGAAACGAAGGGGGGAGGGCAGCCGCACCCCGACATCGGGAGGTGGCGGTGCGGCCCCCCCCCCCCCTTCGTTCATAAATCGTAATCGGGCTTAGAGCCTAAAGTTGTAAAAATTATTTCAAACTAATACGGTTCCTACAACTCCTAGCGACACATATAGATAAATAGTTCTATTTGGAATAAAAAAAGTAATTTTCCTATGAGCTCCTTGGTCATCGCCTTGCCCCCTTAGATCAGGTGCCGACGCTCATGGAACATTAAGAAATTCAAGATTCGAATATATCGAAGTTATGAAAGAAATAATTCACGACGATATAGAATGATACTAAAATGTAAAGGGTATTTCCAAGAAACGATACTCAAATTTAGAAACGTAAAAAGGATCCAACAATCATAATTCAACGAAACATGATGTAAGGTATCT